ATTGCACTTCGCGCTACCGCCCAACGCCGCCCCCGGATTATCGTCAGCGCGCGGCGTCTACGGCACGCCATGGCGTTGCGGCCGCGAGCCGCGAACTGCTGCCCGGGCCTCGAGCTTGAGGGAGGTCTGTATCATCTCAATCCCGACTCTGGCGACGATTCCGCCTCGCAAAGATGCGCTTCTGTGGCGTGGTATGGTGCTGCTCTCGTCGCCTCGCTCGCGCGCGGTAGCTGAATACTGACCCGCGAGATTCGCCTCTTGCGCGGGCACATTGGGATAATCGCGCGGCGCTATTCGGGAGGAGAATGATTTCCCCAGATCAGCACCCAACGGCGATCCTTCCACACTCTCATCTCAGGCCACCGGTGGGGACCCGGCTGTCACCGACGACGACGTCGAGCCGACACGATACCGTGCGCCTCGCGAACATCACCCCGCAACTATCCGGCCGTTGACTCGCACCCGATCAGAAGGCGCACGTCACGCTCAGCCGCAACCCCGGTGCCTGTCGTGTCGTGGCATCGGAGAGCGATTCAGTACGTCCGGGCAGGCGGGCGGGCGGAGCGGGGCGTCTGACTGAGCGCACATCGTCGTGCAAACTTTGGGGTTCTGAATCGTCGATCCGCGGGTGCGACCAAACGGGCTGGCCACGCGGGCCCGTTTCGTCGTGCGTTTATCGTTTTAGGCTCGTAGGTCAGGTTGGGCGATGGATTGGGTCGGCATCGCAGGGCGGAGAGCTGACTAGCGATCTTCTGAGGCGGGTGGAGTTTGACAGGTGTAGCGTCACGGCGTAGGGCGATGACCGGCGATGTCGTGAATGTTTCTTGCAAGGTGCGGACGGCCGAGTCGTGCGGTCTTTTGCGGGGCGCAGTGCGGGCGGACTGAGTCGTGGTGTTTGTGGGGTGTGATCGGGAGCTTGATTGTTGCGGGATGGGTGCCGGGACGCTTGCGACTTTCGGATACGTATCGGACTGTGGATATCGCGCGATGCATGTGGGCGAGCTACGAAGTATCGATAGCAAAAGCATGTTCAGCATCACCGCAACCCAACCCCGCACATCCAGCCCAACCCGCCGCTCCGCCTATCGCATCCAACGACCTCGACTCAGCACCCGCATCACCATTACGCATAAACATCCCATCTCCACACATCCCCATCGCCGGACTATCGTCATTGGCCCTCGCAACCCGTTCTACTGTAGGTACCAGAGGTAGGTACGTCTGGGCACCGCGCCGATCAGGGCTACCGGCTCGCGGCCCGGGGTGAGCGAAGTGCAGGGCGCGAATGCGGGGGAAATGAGTCGTTATGCACATACCAGTCTAGCTGTCTGCGCGACGTGTGATGGATCGGCGGGGTGATGAGCCTAAGGGCTGTGTTCATGCTTTTTCTCCAGCGTCATGAGATGGGCGACCAGAACTAGTTGGGGTGTGGGACGATAGTCTGGCGTAGTGGGTTATCTGATCGCTGCGGGGTAGTTATCGTGAGTGAGGTCTGGACTACGTGGCGTCCCCGCGTTTTTTCGAGGGAGCGGGTGTTTGGGCACGGATGGTAAGCTAGGGAGGGCTGGCTACCGGTACCGGTTGTTCGTGATGGAGGCGGAGTTTGTTTGCCGTGGGCTGGCGGGTGTGGATTGGAATTGGGGTTTGGTTTGGGTGATGCGGGCTGCAGTCGATGGGATGTGACTGTGCATTGGGGGCTGGATATGAACACTGTGACAGTGGCAGTGGTTGTCAAAGTCTCGGTGCATTGATGGCGTAAATCACTCGTTCCTGATGTCGGCGTCAATGGATGGCTTGTTTCGCGCCAACGACAATCTGGAGAGACACCTGACTGGCAGCAGATGCGGTGTTCGGGCAAGTGGATTCTTTCTGGGCTGAGATGGCAAAGAGTATCATGCAGTGACGCAGGTGATAGTCGGAACAACAAGCGCCAGTCTAATCTCCCGATGTCAATCAGGGTTCCGAGGCGTGACGTATGTTCCCGTCCTCTCTGTGTAACTATCTGGATGCCGTTTTAGACACGATAATTGGGGGCATGTTGCCATTCGGGTCTGCTCAGCCTTCCAATGAAGCCCTGATGGTGGTTGATTTTGATGCAATTTCCTGTATGCGTATGCTGGACTTTATCGTTGTGATGAGGCTGAGGCCGAGGCTGAATTCGGATAGAGTACCGTCATGTTAAACGGGTTGTTCCGCAACGATGGAAAGGAGCAGACTTTGCTCGCCGGGACGACTCTAGTTTCGTAGACGAGCTTACCATGAGTATGCGTTGATTCATTCCATCGACTTTATATCCCAGTCTTGCTCGATCTCGAATTTCACCGATTTTTGAACCGAAAGGACGTTGATGTTCATATCCAACGTTAGGTTTGACGAACCGCTTTGGCAAAGTCAGCGCTTGAGTAAAGCAGGAGAATGGCGGTCCACCTTTCGAAGACCAGGCATGATGAAGCAGCATGTCGTTAATGATATCGATTCAACTACAAAAACTCTACCGAGAATCCAAGAACAGGTGTTGAATGTGACAGCAAAGGACTCGACTCCCACGAGTAAATCACGGAGTCTTAAACACCCAACCATCACCATATCTGTACCCTCAGTAGAAGAGGAACCGCACACTCATCCAAACTCTGATATGTGCTCGTCTTTCAGCATGGCAGGGTCAACATAAAGCCTGATTCCCGTCGCCGCCTTGCTCAGGAACCTCAGTCTTGCTGGCGTTGCTAGGGAGTGCGTCGAGGACACCGAGTTCGGACGCGGTGGATATGCCGCCTAGCTCTCTACTGGTTGAGGAGTCGCCGGCATCAAGAGATTAGACCAAAGTAGTAGGGAGTTGACTCAAAAGTGATTTGCTCTGTCGTCGCCCATCGGAGCGTAAACATGGAGCCCGTTGCCTTACCACTGAATGTGACAATATGCTATTTCCAGACGCACTGATGCAACAGCCCCACACTGCACATTGAATGCAGACTTTGAGATGCCGTCACTAACGTGAACAATCATGCTTGGAAGAGCGGATATCAGATAGAGGGGTTATCCGCAACGGTTTTGTTTCCTCGGCGAGCAGCGTACCTCGACAAGTCAACTAAAAGGCTCCTCCAAAACCCCAGCTCGGCCGCCATAAATTCACGGGCAAATTGCTCAAGGTTTGTTCCTCAAAGGGTGCGTGGAGTGTCAAGTGATTCCCCCTCCCAGGCTGTCCTTCCTGTATGGGCCCGAGGGGGTGATCCCAGGGACGTCGGTAGATCGAGACGACGGTGACGATGTCGGCGGAGATGGAGACACTGGCATTGCGTAGGATGACAAAGACGGTGGTGCTGACGCTGGCGAGTTTTGTGTGTATATGATGCGCTATGGTAGACTGAAAGGGTGCTTCGAGTGCAGAAGTGGTAGTAATAGCCCATCACTACTGCGCCCGACGCACCCTTTCAGTCTACCTAGCCCATCATACTCATACTAAAATTGTCAGCATTCCCACAGCATTATCATACGGGCCGTCCGTAGCGGAACAGTACACCTGCATACCGTTAAGTCCAAACACAAGGGCATTATTCTGAGTGATATTTGATATTGGGTGTGGGTGTTCTTACCCTGTGCGGTTTCAACAAAGAATTTGATGTGATCAAAGTGCTGGTCCCCACCCAAACGCAACGAGTGCTGTCGGGATCGATACTTAATGAACGGAATAACTTGGGATGGCCGACACTAGTGGACATCAAGGCGGGTGAACAGGCTCACTCGGCTCGGATTGCGCAAGGCATCTGCAGCAAGTGATACGAGCTTCAAGTCAGAAGCTGTTTCGATACCATTGGAAGTCGCCCAAGATATGCTCGAATTTGCTGCACGTATCCAGTCTTTGATACGTGCAGCAAATTTAGCCTAGGGAACCGGAAAATCGGCCACTTGCGCATGCCAGCTGGAAGTGGAAGGGTGGATACGCATGCTTGACGTTGGATGATGTTGTGAGAGTGAGAGTTTCGCCCAACATGTCTAGAAAGTCCTTGAGTGGCATATCGCACCACCAGGCTTTCGGTTGAATGAGCCTCAGCACAAGTCGGGCCCAGAAGTCATTCGCCACTGAGTTTGTAGGAAAGCATCCCGGCCAAGAGTCCGCGAATATGAGCTGGGCCGCAGGAATGGTTTGATGCCGGCAAGGAAAAACTCGGGAATAGTGTCCAGCAAGTGGTTGTTCCAAGCGGAGTCTGAAAGGTCTTCGCGGTTTGCCTGGGTGATGTCGGATTGGATAAGGAACTAAACGAGGTAGCTTCGCATCCGGATCTCAAGTATGGCTGCCTATACCTGGTAGCCGACCTCGCCGACAGAGAGGAATGCAAGGACATGCTCTTTCCAAATGATAGGAGCATCGTCGTCACGTAGCGGAAAGCATGCTCAATCTCAGCCGTAGTGATTCTGAGCTGGGCGCCATAGTCTGTCCAGCGGATACTGCGTACACTGGGCAGTGCGCACCCCAGCGCTTGCCATCGTTCCCTCGCGTTTCTTACCTGAAGACATTTCAGCCGCGATTTTTGACGTTCAGGTCAGACCGTGGCACGAAGGGAAGGCGACGTTCGGTGCAAGCAATAGGGACCGTTAGTCACATTTCTACACCCCAGAAGTGACATGATGCATGAGGCATGAATTGAAGCTGCAAGAATAGAGCCCATGGCAGGTGGTTGAGGAGGATGGAGCTCCGTGATGGGAGAGGAGATGATTAGGGTCGGGACATGATGTCGGGGCTTGTCTTGGCGGAGTCTATCGTCACTTACGCAGTCGGCAATCAGATGTCCAATGTCCAACGATGCCTCCCGTCTCCGAAGCTCATCAGTGCCGAATCCCAATCGTTCGGAAGCCGCCTGGCTAGCCCGAACTGATGCACATGTATCCAACCTCCGGCCCGCTGCTCTCGCTGCCTCTCCCCTACCCTCCACCTCGGCCTCCCTTCGCCCAGCTGGCGACATCCTCACAAGTTTCAACTTGCCATGTATAGACCCACCAGACCATCTCCTTTGGTGTAGTGGTTATCACTTTGGATTTTGACTGCCATCAAAAACTTCCAACAACCCCGGTTCGACTCCGGGAAGGAGATATCTTTTTTCCCGCCCGGTGCCAGCTGAGGCGGGCCCCTTTTGGGCGATAGTGGACCGTCGGGATAAGTGACGCGTTTGGTAGAGTAACATTGAGCTGGATCCAATTGCCGCTCGCGGCTGTGAGCCTGGTTGTACCTGAGCCCTGGAGGGCCTCATCGAACTCAGGATATCCCGGTATGAGACGTTGAGGATGAGAGGGGGCAGCAGCAGCAGCAGAACCGTCTAGCGTATCCGACATTTGGGAATATCACCATTTCGCGGTAGATATCAAAGGCTTTTCAATTCCGATCGTCATGCATACACATCCACAGCACTAATAGTAGCAGAAGAGCACACCAGCAAAGCTATAAAAGACGCAGCAGCACAAATACAACGCCGTCCCAGAGCATGCCGCCAGACCCCGCATCAGCTGCGTCGGTCTAGGCGAAAAACCTAGCCCTCTAAATTTATACATGCGCCTCCCTTGCATACCACCCTGTACCCCGTCGCTCTTTACAACTCGTCATGGCCAGAGGGCTCATCATCACCGTAGTCGGGCATGCCTCCTGCACCACCAGCGCCACCGGCCGAACCGTAGATCTTGCTGGTGATGGGGTATGCCACACCGCTGAGCTTCTCCTTCTGCTCCTCGAAGTCCTCAGTAGTGGCGGTCACGCCGTTCTCCTCGATCCAGTCTTGAGCTTCCTTGACAGCCTCGAGGAGCTGCGTCCGTTAGCGATAGCTGAATGTATAGAGCAAATCAACTCACAGATTCCTTGTCCTCCTCGCTGATCTTGCCACCAAGACCCTCCTTGTCGTTGATCTGGTTCTTGAGGCTGTATGCGTAGTTCTCGAGGCCGTTGCGCGCTTCGATGCGCTCCTTGACGGCCTTGTCCTCCTCAGCGTACTTCTCAGCCTCCTCAACCATGCGCTCAATCTCCTCGGTGCTAAGGCGGCCCTTGTCGTTCGTGATAGTGATCGACTCCGACTTGCCCGTGCCCTTGTCACCGGCGCTGACCTTGAGAATGCCGTTGGCGTCGAGCTCGAAAGAGACTTCGATCTGGGGGACACCGCGGGGAGCGGGGGGGATGCCAGTGAGCTCGAACTTGCCAAGCAGGTTGTTATCCTTGGTCAGCGAACGCTCGCCTTCGAAGACCTGGATCAACACCACAGGCTGGTTGTCAGCGGCGGTGGAGAAGATCTGGCTCTTGCGCGTGGGGATCGTGGTGCCGCGCTTGATCAGCGTCGTCATCACACCGCCGGTCGTCTCAATGCCAAGAGTCAGGGGGTTCACGTCCATGAGCACAAGGCTGCTAGCCTCCGACTCGCCAGCAAGGATACCACCCTGAACAGCCGCACCGAAAGCAACAGCCTCGTCAGGGTTGACGTCCTTGCGCGCCTTCTTGCCAAAAAACTCCTCGAGCATGGCCTGGACCTTGGGAATACGGGTCGAACCGCCGACGAGGACAATGTCGTCGATGTCAGACTTCTTCAGCTTGGCGTCCTTGAGCACCTGCTCAACGGGCTTGAGCGTCTTCTTGAACAGGTCGTTGTTCAGCTCCTCGAACTTAGCGCGGGTCAGAGTCTCGCTCATGTCAATACCGTCGTGGAGAGATTCACTGTAGAGTCAGCTTCGGTGCATTTGAACGACGCAGAAGAGGAACTTACATCTCAATGCGGGTCGACATCTGCGAGGAGAGCGTACGCTTGGCCTTCTCAGCCTCGCGCTTAAGCTTGCTCATCGCCTTCTGGTTCTTGGAAATATCCGTGCTGTGCTCCTTGTTGAACTTCTTGACGAGGTAGCTGATAACACGGTTGTCAAAGTCCTCACCACCGAGATGGGTGTCACCAGCGGTAGACAGGACCTCGAACACGCCGTTGTCAACAGTCAGAGCCGACACATCAAAGGTACCACCACCGAGATCGTAAACGATGATCTGGCGTTCCTCCTGGCTCTGCTTGTCCAGACCGTACGCAAGAGCGGCGGCCGTGGGCTCGTTAACGACACGGAGGACGTTGAGGCCAGCGATGGTGCCAGCGTCCTTGGTGGCGGCACGCTGGGCATCATTGAAGTAGGCGGGGACGGTGACAACGGCGTTGACGACCTTCTGACCAAGATAATTCTCGGCAACTTCCTTCATCTTCTGGAGGACCATGGCGCTGATTTCCTCGGGAGAGAAAGTCTTCTCCTCACTGCGGCGGTCAGAACAGGAACAAGCGAGTGCGGTAGAATGACATACCCGTGAACATCGACTTTGACCTTGGGGTTACCATCCTTGCCCACAACCTTAAAGGGGAAGTGCTTGATGTCACCCTGAACGTCCTTCTCCTGAAACTTGCGCCCGATCAGACGCTTGATGTCGAAGATGGTACGCTGGGGGTTGTTCGCGAACTGATTCTTCGCGGCATCACCGACAAGACGCTCGTCATCCGTGAAGGCCACCCACGACGGCGTTATCCGGTTACCCTGGTCGTTGACGAGAATCTCGACCTTGCCATTCTTCATAACACCAACGCAAGAGTAGGTGGTACCCAGATCGATACCAATAACTGCGGAAGTTAGCGGAGCACAAGTCACACAGAACGGCGGGTCGTACCGGGACCAGTGATGGAGGCATCCTTGAGCGGCTCCTGATCGTCGGCGCGGGCCTGCAGACACAAGAGGGGTACACAGAGGAGAAGGAGGAGGTAGCAGAAGGCGGACCACGACGAGCGTGAGCTTCCTCTAGAAGCTGCCATCTTGGATGTGCTTGATGCAGACAATAAAAGCAGAAAGCTAGGTATTGGAGCTGCAGAAGGCAGAAGAGGGGGGGAGGGAGAAGAAGATGTGGAACGGTGAGTGTTGTAGAGGTGAAGGAGGGGAATTGGACAAGCAGCCGTTATAAAGCCACTGCGGGATGGAAGCTCTTGAAAAGTGTCCTTTCTAGAATCTCGCCAAGTCGACTGTTGCACCATACCCGATTGGGGAGAGGAGGCGCCGACCGCCGCTGGTGGCCAGGTGGCATTTACAAAGCTGTTAAGTTATTGCTTACTATCGGTATATAATCTCGCATACAACAACGCAGCTACTTTCATATTGAGGGGGAGGGCTGCTGTTAGCTCCCGTCTCAGCCTGGGGTTCATCGTGGCTTGCGGGCACAAAAGCCTAAAATAACTGCAACTCAATTGCTACTGCTGGTGACCGTTATTATTCTGTTCCCCGGTGTCTATCGTCCTTTTCACATATGTGTACTTTGCCGATGTGTACACTGTGTTCTATCTTGCCATTACCCGCTCATCTGCCGCACTGTCACTTGAGGCAATCAGCACGACGTGTTTGAAGTTGACCAATCTCGCCTTGTGGACACTTTTCAACTTTGTTACTGCCCTTCAGCCCTAGCCAACCGGGGCGTGAGAAGGCTGTCGAAGGGCCTCGATGGTACGGTTCGGCATTGACCAAGAGTTTGACTCACTCATTAGTTCTAGGCCTCAAAGTACCAGGAGCATTGATGCGGGATTCGGAAGCCGCCTTTTAGTTCTAAACCTCTGCCTCTTGGAGAACCTAACCAAAACTGTGGCATCTTCTAAATAACATACCTTGCACTTGTGGCTCAGTTATCTGAATATCAGTGCGCCATACCGCACTTGGATGCTCCTCCGCAACCATCTACATTATCAGTCAACAGCGATCAAGTTAACATCTTCCTTCACAATTAGCTCAATGCGCAATCATACGTCGTGAAGACAGCTACGTGATATCCATGGTGCTGGAGCAGAGTCCACAGCGCACGCAGCACCTAATCACGCCGTCAAGATCTCGAAGATGGCCCGTAGATATCGCGAGCATGGAATTCAGCATCTCCAAGCTCAGTGATGTAGATTACAACGAAATCCAAAACACCTACTACACCACTGATGACAAGGCGAATAATTTTGACCATCCTCACGACGTGCAGGCCTCAGACAATCCTTCCACATTTCAAGCCATGCCGGGCTCCCACACCTGCAACCCGGCCGGCAAGCCGATCGGCAATCCAACCGGCTCGGCTACGACTTACGTTTCAGTTCGGTCTCGGAGCTCTCGAGGCTCACTCCCGCGCCACCGACCACCGTACAAAGGTCGTACGCGATGCGCATGACTACCCGCGCCTCGTATCTATAAAGAAGTCACCCGCATAGCAGACGAATGTACGGACACATATATCGACCGATGAGAAGGAGAGGAATAGCGTTTATGAGTCTGTCCTCCCTCCCTCCCCCCTTCTCGTCACCTATAAAAACTGACTCAGAAGTTTATGAGCATGAGGCCTGTGGACTCACACAGACTCCTACTTCGGCGGCGCAATCGTCACGTCCGTTTGCGTTGAGCAAACCCATATCATCAGTGTCATGGAAAGCCCAGCATCTTACTCGCCGTCTACGCCTGGGACAGTCATCGCATCCGCTATATCAGTCTGGGGGATGCGCTTCTCCGAGCTTTCCTGGAAGCCATGTACTGCCTGAGTGCATATTCTATAGACAGAGACATACCACGAAGGGAACTAGGTCATTATGAGCAACGGCGCGATAGAATTTAATCGAGGTGGCTGCAACGAGAGCTGTGCGAGGGAAAGGAGTCGTCTCTTTGTGGGAAGTCTTCTAAGCCGGAGTTGAACCGCGTAGTGCTCCACGACGATTGTCGGCGGCAATATCTTGATCTGGAAGGAAGTTTATGACGCAGTTTTGGAGGCCGGTCCGCGGAGTCCACCTTTATCCGCCAGGAAAACGATTCCAGTACCGGAAGGCCTGTTAAAGACTGGAGCGCAAGTAGCCGGTCATGGCAGCTTCATCACCCGTGTCTTTTGTCGATCTGGATGCTGCGCTCTTGGAGCCTCAGGAGGAATTCTGTCCACAGGTCGTTCCTGCAGTTTGGGGAATTCGGACCCGGACTGCCACCACCAGGTCGTTCCTGCAGTTTAGGAAACTCGTACCCGGACTGCCACACCACATCGGATGAGGTTTGCTGCAATTCATTCACCGAAGCGAATGATGCGACTCCCAG